GGCTGGCTGCTGTGCGCGTGCGTTATGCTGATTCATTGGCTCGCGCTTCTGTTTCTCTTCCTCGAGAGCGGACCCCAGAACTACCACATCGATTGGGGTACTTGCCCATTTTATTTCTCTCTTTTATCCTTTTATCGCAATACTACTTTATTATTCTTTGCACATCTTTTACAAAACTTTTATTTATTTATTTTTTCCATGATTCTCCAGACGACCGGCAAGGGCTGCGAAGGTCGTTGGGCCTGCTCTACTACGGGCTGCCCACCGTCGACGCCGATGACTGCGACATGGCCCGCTGCTTCAGCCACGACCGGTACCCCACCACCTGCCTCTTTTTCATCTTCCTCCTGCCGCACCTTCCTTAGCCCAGCCTAGGTTGCCTCAGAATTGTCAACGTAACATGACACCAACTTCTATTCAATTTATTTAAATTATATTTATTATCATTCCAATTTTTAATCTTTTCCCATTTTCTTTACGTAAACAGCCGATGCGGCACTTCCCCGGACGATTTCACCATCGCCCTCTATCCACCGGGCGCCGGTCTAGCCATACAGGGCCTCGACGGCGCCCCGGTCGTGCCCTCCAAGTGGTGGATCGACACACGCGCCGCCCTCGTACGCTCTCGCCGTCGCCCTCGCGCCTTGCTCTCTGCGGCTCTGCGGCTCTCTGCGGGCAATTCGCCGTCAGCTGACTTTTATTTTACCAAACTTGCGGGCCAAACGTGCACTACTGCAGAGGGCCAGCAAGTACTTTGTGGAGGACCCGGAGAAGGCGTGCGTGCTGGTCCCCAATTTCGAGCACACGCTGGCCTCCAACGAGATGGGCACGTCGCTGGTCATCGCGCAGACCCTGCGCAGCCTGCCCACCTGGGAGCGCTACGGCGGACCAGGTATATTTTTATATATATATATTCCCTGCGTGCGTGTGTGTCGTGTGTCATGTGTCATGTGTGTCTGTATGTGTGTGCGGTCGTGCGTGTGTGCGGTCGTGCGTGTGTAGTGTTCTCTAACACGCGAGAAACACGTGCATCCAGGATTCAACCACCTGCTGTTCAACAAGCACGATGACGTGGGCGTGGAGTACGACCCGGCCTACGCCATGGTGGCCAAGGTCGGGTGGTCCACGGGCCACTACCGGCCGGCCTTCGACATCTCCCTCAACCCGCCCTGCGGCAAGGGCCGGCCGGGGCTCAAGGACGCCGCCGGCCACGTCGTGCCCACCTGGTGGGCCAACCCCGACCGGAAGCGCGAGAACAAGTACTTCCTCACCTTCCTCGGCACCATGCGCAACTACCCGCTGCGTCGCGCCATCGCCGAACGCTTCCACGACCCCGACAACGGCGTCATCATCCAGGTATGTGAACAATGTCGCGCTGGCACAACCCGTTCGTGTTTGACATTCTTCTTCCGGAATTGCTGACCCACCCTGGCCGTGGTGCATGTCTCGCAGACGTCGGTGGAGGAGCAGATCGGCGGCAAGCCCAGTGTGGAGGTGGAGTACCTGGACACGCTCTTCCACACCCAGTTCACGCTGTGCCCTCGCGGCCGTGCCCTCTATTCCTATCGCACCACCGAGGCCATTGCTGCGGGTTCGTAAAACCACTGCGACAGGCTGGGCGAGCACACAACGCGACGGAGGCCACTACTCGTTTAATATGGATGCTGACGTCATGCTGCTGCCGTGCTTCTTCTTCTTCCCCACCAGGTGCGATTCCGGTCATTCTGGGCGACGGCTACGCCTTCCCGTACAACGAGCTCATCGACTGGCGCAGCTTTGCGGTCATCTTGCCCGAGTCGTCGTGGGAGACGATGATGGACGTGCTGCGCAGCTTCACCAGCGAGGAGATCGCGCGCATGCGAAGGAATATGGGCATCGCCTATAACAAGATCTTCAAGAACGACAGCACGTTGGTACGAACACACACGCACACGCACGCGCACGCGCACGCGCACGCGCACGCGCACACGCACGCGCGCACACACACAACACGCTGAGCAATCAATCTTTGTTGTGAACACAGATGGACACCACGCTCGATATCCTGCGGATGAACATCTACAGACAACGCGGCGGAGGCCACTACTCGTTCGGCCAGTTCAAACACGTCGCTGCCCATCCCTTCGGCCACCCGCTCTACTTCTCTCCCGAGGAACACAGCGCCCGGTAGCGTGGTGCGGCGTAAACGAAGGAAAAGAACAATAAAAAAAAATATTTATCTGTACAGATCGCATCGGTGAAGGGGACGTAAGGGACCAGCTGGGGGGGGGGGTCAAGGCAGAATGAGCAAAATAGAAAGCTTTGTTGTTCTGAGTACAAAATAAATGGTTTTGATGGTCCTGTTCACTACTGGACAGTCCATCGCTTGGGGTTGGGCAGCCAACACAAGCCCTGCTCCATGAGGACAGCCTACACGAAGAGCGGAGGAGGTGAAGGTGAGCCCCACGAAAAGAATTATTTGAGGCGCAGTTGGAAAAACGTGTAGCTGCACGTACCCAGATGTAGACGCCGGCGTATTCGTAGATGTTGGGCGTCGACGAGGGAACGAAGTTGCCGGTGACGCCACAGATGGCCTCGCCCACGGGCATCTGCCCCTCGGCGGCATGGTCGACCATCCACTGCAGTCGCTTGCGCACAACCTCGCGCGGGCTCTCCTTGAGCATGATCGCCTGGTAGTCGATCGGCTTCTGCACCACCTTCTTCTGCTGCCCCTCGGCGGCGGCGGTGGCGGCGACCAGCGGTGGCAGCACCTCAGGCACGGCGTCGATCTCCTCCGACGCCGCCTCCTTGCCCTTACATTCCTCCTGCAAACAAACAGCGCAGGAGGTGACGTCAGCAAAGAAACAAAAGAGAAAAGGAAAAATAAACATGCTTGGCATACCTGTGTGG